TTCTTTTTTATGATATTTTTTAGAAAATTAGTGTGATAATAAACTACAACGTAAATGCAATGCCATAAAAATTAGGTTAAATTTAAAACAAATATGTATTTTGTTATGTATCGATATTATAAATTCACATTGATATGAACAACGGCGACGGTTACGTCGCTCCTGTTAAGGAGAAACACTCTGAGCTATTTGTTGTACGCATGCAAACACTTTTGTCCTCCGTTCGATTCGTATTCTCCATTAGATTCGCGCATTTCTCTGAATACATTTCTTTTAAGAGTAAAATAATATTTCACGAGGCATTCAAAGATCATCATGTCTGCGAGTAAAACGATGACGTACAAATGGATTTAAACCAAAGCTAACCAAACAAGTACAATAACCACAATGAAAAGATTTTTCGAACAGAGTATAAGCCCATAATGCTTTTAAATTCAAAGAAGCAAAGGAAAAGATTTTGTATTAAACATTTCTACAACAGCGCAAATACTGCTTCGTGAAAACTCTAATGTCTGCAAAATGCATTACTAGGATTTCAAAAGATTGTAAAATATCCTTTGTTATGAAGAATACTTTAGAAAGTTTTAAAATCTTATCGAGTGGCATAAAATATGTTTTTATGTCAGAAGGTGGCAAATGACCAAGCAGCTACCTGAAATCGCCGTATTAGTGAAACGACCGGTGCCCGTAGATATTCCCAATTGCAGATGCGTTGCCTAGACCTATTTTTTTACAGTTTTAAAATATTATATGTCGTAGTAGAGATTAGAATGCAAGCAGTAGCTGTGCTCGAGACGCAGCGCATGATTGGGGCTCGTGTAGGATGCGGTGTGTTTGTAAACTGCTCCGGGCAGCAGCGGGGCCCAAATTTTAATATCAACCGACTTACCGCCCTCTCTACATTATCATATATCTCATGTTATTTTAAGTAACTGACATTCAGAATTCTTGATATTATATTTTGAATAATATTGTAAAATATCTTCTATGAAAGTAATCTCTTGTACAAATATTTGTCGAACAAGTTTTCTTTTTCAAAGAATACGTTTAAATTACTTAAAAATTGGTATTTGAAACCAAAACATTATCTAAAATTAGTCCATATTTATGAGAATAATCTATTTTTTTCTCTTTTATTGAAATAGTTACGCGGTATCGCGGTGGGGAGCGACGTCGACTAGAGGCTGACAACATGATCCAGTGTTGTGTCGTTTTCATAAATAATTAAAGTAGTAAAGACTAACTTACAAATACGAGTGGTAGCTAGCCAGTAAGGAAATGGGGAACGACCTTAAAAGAGCTTCTAAATCCACTATTCTCTAATCCGGAGTTCGCACTAAATCCATTAGCAGGAAGCACACGGCTAATGGATACACCAATTATTTTCGCATGAAATCATCTTGTAATCATAAAACATCCAAACTACTAATTTCTAATTGATTTTAATTTTTTCCCTGAAATATAATGTATAGCTGTCGCCCGCGTCTCCGTCTGCGTGAAATTAAAAAAAAATTACTTAATTAAGACTGTGTTCTTCCAGACTATGTTTTCTACATCTATGCCAAAATTTCATCGAGATCCACGCAGCTGTTCTGGAGATACCTTCAAATAAACATCTTTCCATCTAAACATTCGCATTTATAATTTTTAATTTATCCCGTGAAATATGATGTAATTGATTAGCTCGCACTATACAGATACAATCACATAATTGACCTAGTTCATGTTGTTAACACAATTGTACCTGATTACCAGCGACACTGCTTTGTGAGATTTAATTGCTAAGATTAATGCAATTTATTATCAAGCCACGTTGATGTTCTTGTTATATACATTTATATAATTTGTAGGTTAATGATATCTTATTTAAATCTATTTGTAGCAGGAGTTCGCAATGAGAAATTAATCACAAAGTATTATATTTTGTGATGTTAATTTTTTGTAGAATAGATACATTACCTTATGTACATTACAAGGAAATAACTAAGAAGTTATCAAAGGATGAATTAGTTTAATTAGAAAGATAAGATTAATGTTAATACAATTATATATCTTATCCTTTTATATCTTTCTAACAAAACGAGACATCGTTTTGGATATTTATTACACACATATAACATAGCTGCGTATATTCCTTCATTTCCTTTCCTTTAATAACAAACTCAGACATACATACGGATTTGTTAAAATGACAAATGATGTTATTAATAAAAAAATGTTTTTTTTTGTGTAATAGCTTAGATATTCCTAATTTGATTATATCTATGTTTTTAAAATGTATTCATAAATGACTAGAAATCTTAAGAACTATATGAAGTGGCACTTTCATCTCAACGCCGGCCTCCGGCCCTGCCCCGGTCTGCCCCCGCCCCCGCCCCGTCCGGCAGATTTATTACTTCCCCCTGCTGATATTGGAATCGGCTCAGTTCGATTGGCCCGAGACTTGACTTTGTCTGATTGCTCTGGCCGAGGCGATTACTATTCAATATTCTTCATTTAACATCTTTAAGAACTTTCATTGAACAACGCTGCTATGAAAGGTACTTTCAAGGCGATAGTACATTGTTTTCCTATGGTGGGAAATGAAGTTTCATTTACACGCTTAGAACAAGTTACTATGCAACTTTGTTATCTATAATACTATATAGCAAGTTGATAACAAATATGTACACGTGTCTTAGCGAACACAATAACTTGGGAAATCTTTGCGCGAGACCTTGCCTCTAATTGTCACAATATATCGCACGCTTGTTCATTTGTTTTGCTACCAGGTGAATATATACCATAATTATTTATTTATTGTACAAATAATGAAGTGTATACAGTGTAACAACTGAAGATAAAAGAAAGCTGTATATTTCTAATAATGTACATACTTACAGACAAAGTTTTTATGAGTAATTAAGTTAGGGTCTAAGCTAGGAATAAGTAAGTTCGAGAGCAACACGTGTGACACGGTCTACGCAGCTAGTAAATGTTTACGAGCTAAGTTGTTACGCTCCCGCCCCCATACTGCACGACTTTCACTTTAATTATTAAACTGTTTTATAGCATTGGATGCTAACTTTATGATACGGTCAGTGTGTTTATACAGAAGGTAGTAATCGCAATTTAAATAGGAATATATTTCAAGTCCATGTACATATCTAAACAAATCTAATGTTATTATAGGATGTTCCTAGACTAAGTTTAATTTCTATAAAAAATTTATAGAGATTATTTTAAAATACACGTGTAATTTCGTGTGTAATTTTAATTATTCGTAGAATATCAACCAAATCTATTGGATTGTAAACAAACGTTTGGAAATTCAATGTCGAAGTCCTATAATAACAAGCATTAAGATCTGGTAGCCGCGGCCTGTCGATTTAATAAATTTACTTACCTAAGGGTTGTCCGATGCTGTGGGCGGCGGGGGCGGATGGTGGGGGGCAACTGATCATGTAAGATAACCGCCAGGATATAGAGTGGTCACGTGCCACATAAATAGACGGCTACGTGGGTCCGGAACTTGTGGTCTAATTCATATTATTTAAATCAAGTAGATATGTGAGGACTGAAGTATCCTGGATTTTACAACAGCTATAGCTGAGAGGGCGATAAAAATGTAAACGTATATGAATTATACGACAACGTATTTCGGGCATCGACGAACATGAGTTTAACATATTACAATAACGCTTTAATGTATATATTTGCAAGTTTACAACAAGAGTATGATAGTAAACAGTTTTAGGGCGGCCTCGAAGTCTGAAGCGCTCTCGTCTGCCTCGACGACATCTGTAGTGGCCATTTCCAATGAATCACAATCGATATAAAAGTTTTGTTGCGCCTGTCTGTTATATTTTTACTTAACAGTTTTATTATGTGAACTTTAATGTCAATTTATTTTTCTATTATATTTATTTACAAAGAAGATGTTTAAGCTATATTCTCTTGTAACTAAATCTTATGTTTTGCAGGACGTCCCCTTTGTTTGTGAGACCTTTTTGTTTATTTTGTAAAAATCCATGTGTAGTGTGAGTAGGTGCGAGAAAATTCATTATTTATACGTTATTCGTTCATAATATGTCCCAGCTGTTGTAATAATTCATTTCGTAAATTACTCGACTCGACCAACCAATCGGGATCCCCGTTCTGCAATAAGCAAACTCTTATCGTATAAAAGCTAGTACGCAGTATGAAGTTAGCGCGGCTCCCGGCCCACCTGCCCACCTGCCGGCAATAATTCAACTTTCTATACGAGCTCGTGTCGGTGACAAGTTTCCTATACTTTCCACATTAATGAAACATGGCGATATTTACTTTGCTATGAATTTTTCCTAACTCTTTTTGAATTTAGAGCCTAGGATATGGGATCACCTTTTTTACTCCACTTGATTTTAAAGCGAGTCGCATTAATTTTTTTTTACTGCGTTTCTTATGTTTGTCTCATTACAATGCTACACTTAAAATGTATATAACAAGCCACTAGCCATAAAAATCTTACTAATATTAGGTAGTAGCTATCTTTCTCCCGCGACTCTGTCTGTGCGTAATAAGCAAAACTTATAAACGTATGAAACTTTATAATTTAGCCCGTTAATGTTAATAATTTCTTATTAATATTTATATTTTGATCTCAACCTACTGAAATATAAGTTCTTTACTCCGCAAAGGGTATCTTCAGTATATATAAATTAGGATATTTTTAGTAAAGAGACTTATATATTTTCATCAAATGAAATTGCTCAAGATCGTGGAAATAATTACTTTAAAAACAAATTTTATTACAGTGATTTATAAGAAAACCTCTATATTTATTCATGCTTCAAAAAAATTGTTATTAGAGGCAGTATTGAAAATGAAAAATTTCTCAGTAGTTTTCCTTCATCGATTCGCTGTTTTAGCGAATTAAAGTATTTGTTCGTTCGTTTGCCAGCAGTTATCAATTCCCATTGTACACGTGTGTACTGTTTGTTGTTGAGGTGGATGTGATAAGATGGGTTGCATTGTTTCAGACTGGCTGACGGTGACGTGGGCGCAGAGCGGCATGCAGCTTCAGCCGGCCGCAGCAGACGATCCCGATTCCGTCAGGAACCGGTGAGCACAATTTACTGCTCTAACCGTCTATTTCTACTCTAACTTGTTCTAGAAACCTAGAGAAAATTAGAAATTTCATTAATTTCAAGTATGAATAAACTTGAATCGATCTGATAAAAATGACGCACTGTTTACCTTTAAAAATATCTCTCGATTGGTGTCTGTTCCACTAAACTGGTTAATAATATTTGGTGTTTCCCGAACGTAAATACTCTATCCATTAATATAATTTCTACGAATATAAGCTTGTATCTACAAGTTTTGGGTGCGATCTCCCTCATATGTGTTATGTGATCTCCGAAATTCATTTGTACAGCATTATCTAGCTTTCTTACAGCGAAGGAAATCGTAACTGCACATATCTGCGAAGAAATTCAAAGGTGAATATGTGAAATGAACCAACCCCCACGGTGCTAGCGTGGTTGACAAAAGTCTTCTCCCCATTACAAGAGGCGCAGCAAAAATAAACAATCAACTACATACATCCAGATATGACACATATATATGTTGTACTGATTTATTAAACGTAGTAAACACACACTGACACACTCATCATTACTACTGCTGATAAAAAAATGTCCAAATATGTGTAACTTTAACTTTAATTAAATCAAGCAAAACGTTGACTTTGTTGTGATCGACTGGGAAAGCTGGGAAAAGTTTAAATGGATTCAGTAGGGTTGCGCATAAGCAGCTAGCAAACCTTCTGTAACGTGCGCAATACAAAATATTATTAAGATTTTTCTCTCATACACGCCATTCTTTGCTTTACCAAAATCACATGAATAACTAAATCTAACATGTATTTCATAAGAAACATGTACCTTTTCCGAGCAAATATTCGCATCACAAAGAAGACGATGCTTTCATTGTATATCTATGATATGTGAGACTTCCGAGGAATAATACAATCCAGTATCCGAGGTATTATCTATACGTCTTCTTTGTACTACATATTATATTCCGCCGTAGACCGGCACAACTGGCGAGCGGCCAACATACTACCTACATAAATAATATCTTACATTTAAACCTTAAGAATTATAATCTCTAATATCTTTTAATACTCCTCTTCAGCTATTACTATATATCTATAAAATGTTATTACTTTCAAAATCAGATTAAACAGACGTTTTTATTCTCACCACTTAGCATAGCATGTAGTTAAGATGATGTTAAACAAGAGTGATTTGTAAATATGTATTGAAACATATTATGTTTTTTGTGGCAGCCCTATTGCTAATGTTCTCTTCATCGGGTCTGGCTCAATCAGTTTGACATTAGGCAGCCCGTAATTGTGTCAGGCCGAATGTGCCCAATGGTTGTGTGGGGCTATTAAACGCCTAATGACATAAGGCCATGTTTTATAATTTGACGAAAAAAACATTCGTTACTTTTTTATTAAATCGATTTAATTATTTATGATGGATAAAGAGCAGAAGCAGCATGTTACAAGTGATATTGGCGTCATCAAATATTTTTAAATGATGAATATTCGAAGCCCGAGAATGAGTTCAGGATAATGCGGTAATGGGATACAATTATCTCGCATCAAAGTTTCCGGCACGTGTCCACACTCCGCGTAATATTTCCTTCGTCGACAGCCGCTTGACAAGCAATCACCGGCGGCGCTACCGGGTGGTCATCGCCGCTCATCCGGCTCACGCTATTGATGTTATGTGCTCTCGATCCCTTGTAATGATTATGTACGTTACGCAATGTTAAATGTAGTTAATTGCAGGCCATTAACACCAAGTGATCCAGTTAAACACGATCTTCTTAATGTTTATCGCATGTTAAGAATTGACTGTGTGTGGAGCAGGTGCGGGCGCGCCGGCAGCCTAGCGGTGACGCCGGGCGAGAGGCTGCTGGAGCTGCTGCGGCCGAGCGCGCCCTCTGACACACCTGCGCCACGCCGCCACTCCACCGCCGCGTGCGCGCCACCTCCGCGCCCCGCCGGCTTCGTGTACTGCCCCTCCGATGCGCTGCCCTACTGCCCGCCTTCGAGACTGGCGCCGCCCAGATCACATGTAAAGGTACAAACATACATGTATCTAGCTTTATAAGAGCGGGCCTACATAATAGTTACTAAACTCGTGCAAAATGAAAATTATAAAAAGTAATACTTATCTACTAAAGATTTCCCCTTTTGAAAGAAGAAAACTTTAGAAATCACCAAAGGAAAGTATGTAATGCATTAAGTTGCAAAGACAATACAATAAATATTGGAACATAGATTCCGGGTGTTTCCCCGATCAGCCCAACGGGAAACACCCAAGATTGCAAATACAAATTCGATAAAAGTCCTACGTCTAGTAATGGTACAAAACGGTTCAATATTAAGTTTGCTCGCCGACATTTATTTTACGCCGGAAGGTCCGCGCTCCACGCGTTCTACACGTAAGATAATATTTCTCTCGAGCTTCATCGATCCTTATCAAAGTCATTATAATTACCTATTTAAGGCGGCGCCCCATTGTTTCTTAATGTAAATTAATATATCGTGCTAAGAGGATTAAAACATTCTTCTTTATTGGTTTACTTTGCTAACGTTTAAAGGATTCGCGGCGGGCCATTGATTTATATTATTAGAACAATAAGGTTGATTAATTGCTTTACGAGTCGCTTCGTTTAGATGTCTCCTGCGACACTGATTGGTTTGATCATATAATTTTACACAATAATAATTAAAATTATTGTGCACTATTCTGACTTTTGACAAGTGCTTATTTTCAATTAATCTAATGGTGTTAACTAATAATAAGAAATACAATTTAATATCAATAAATAGGATAAAAATGAACTCACTTCAATAAAAAAAATGTGCGTTGTGTTCTGTCAATTTAGTAATATTTTAATTCTGGTCTTTAATTCCAATTTATTTGTCGCAGCTACCTCCGCCGCCGCAGGCGTCACCCGTACAACCTCCTCCGGTACCACAGCGCACGGTACCCGCGGTGAATCCGGCGGCGTTGCCCGTGCCCCCCACTGCGGTGCCGGCTCCTTTGGCAGTGCACCGCGCTGCGACCCCGGTACCTCTGGCTGTGCCCCCGCCAGCGCCACCGCGCCGCTCGTCACCGCAGCCGCCCCGCCGCGTACCACCGCCGACTCCCCCGCGGCCCGCACAACCAGCTCCGCCGCCGACCGATCCCAACGGCAACCGGCGCACGGTGCCCCCGACCCCGACGCCGACGCAGCCGTCGAAGCTCGACTGCAACAAGAATCCGCAGCCGCCGCCCCTCAGGAGGCCGCCACAGAAGATGCCGGACACACCGTATACGCCGCCGCAGAACCAGATCAAGCGCTCCCCGAGCTCTGGCTCCAACATCAGCGTGCGCCAGGACTCTAACGTGTCCTCGGACTCGTTCAGCCAGACCTCCTCGCCCTCCTACACCACCAAGACTATGGAGGCGCCGCTACTCCCGCACCAGAACGTCAACAAGAGCCTCAACGCTAAGATAGCGCGTGGCCTGTTGCTGAAGGAGCAGCAGGACAAGGAGTCCGCGAGCACTTCCATCACAAAGAGCATGTCGACGCCGGCCTCGCTGCAGACCATAGTCAGGTTCCAGAACGGCAGCAACATGTCGTTGCACCACCGGGTGAGTCTCTAAGAAACAATTGATGATAAAACTAATAATTCGCATGTGCATCTTTTTAGACCTCCAAAATCCAACTTGAAAATTAAATGACAAAAAAAATTTCATTTTTATTTTTCTCATGCTCAATTAAGAAGCAGAAACACTCGGGGCGCGCCCGCGGCACGCCCCGAGTGTTTCTTCCGAACTTTTGATGCGTCCGGCGTCCAGCGTTCTTCGGACAAAACTTTTGAAACTTTCCATGTTTGTGCGCTATAGGTACTCTCATGTACACAAGTGACGTATTTCTTTGAAAGTGAACTCGAACAGTCGACGAAAGTCAAGTTATAGGTATATTGCGATGTTATGTAATTCAAAATTTTTAAAGTGAAAATATTAAATTCGTCGCGGCCAGTTGAATTTATCGATAAATGATTTTTTCTAGTTTATCAATAAGCGGTAAAGACAATACAATTAACGTCGTAATGATATTTGAGTCTGTTTATACATCTATAATTAATTATAAGAATTTACAATACCATACAATGGCAAACACAGCATAGTACTACTACCAAAAGCGGGTTTACTTATTTAATGTGGTTTAAATACAAGATACCGTTTGCAATGGTCAGAGGTAGTAATTGCCACAACAAAATGCTTTTAAGCCGTCAGATGAAATTTAGAACAGTAGCACAGCTGACCGTTGTGCGGATAATCGCTTCGCAACATTTAGTTGCACGCGCGTCGTAATGGCGGCAGAACCGCGACACAAGCGCGGCTAAAGCTACATTTAGTTCCATTGACCAATGACGATAGATATAAAATCAGTATTTATATTCATAATTTAAAGAGACACAGATTTTATTCATCTAAATAAGTATGAACTCATGTTTCATGTTAGAGATGACATTTCAATTACATATCATATTTACTTTTTACATTATATTGTTAATAGCATAAGTTTTTAGGAAACACAATAAGAGTCGTTAAGACGTCTACTACTCTTAGATCATTTCCATATTCTTCAAAAACTGTAATAACTTTTCTCCTTTAGCTTTTCCTTCTACAGTTTCTATTTCGCAATACAGTGGAAACTTGTCTTGCTTGTTAACCACTTTCTGCTATATATAAACAATATCAAATGTCAATTTTATTTATGATTTTCTGAGGAGCAACGTCCGACGCGTATCACTTGCAGCGCAGAACGTTTTATTTCACACTTGAAAGCGTTTTCCGTAAATTACACTTCATTTGATCGCAAATCTCGATTGCGGACTGGATTAAATTGAAAATGTGGATTTATCTGATTATTTCATTTAAGTGAGCATTTTAATCGGAGAAGAATTTTTTTCATGTGAAATTCTTTCATTTCTGTCGATTTGATCTTAATTCCTTTAACGACCTTAGTTCATTACTCATTATGGCAATACAGAACGTTAAAATAAACATGTATAGCGCAAATATAACACAAGGACTTTTCTTTATAAATAGCTTATGTGACAATAGGTTATGTGAAAATATTACCGTTTTATCCACACTTTTTGATGACCAGCGACACATCTGCAGCTCATTCAGTGATGTAAATGCTGCCCTTAAAACCCTTTAAGAGTATTATAATCTTTCTAAAGGTAAGTGCATACATAGGTAGTTGTATATGAGTTCTTATACTTGAAGGCACGACAAATTTAATTCATAGTATGAATAGAAAATTTCGTGACATGTGGTCGTTGGAGAGTAACGAGGTGCACGAGGCCGGTTGCAATCTCATCTCGGCAAACATATAATATGTCGCCCGGTCGCTCGGTTGCTCGCCCGCCGGCGCCTTTCACAGGGCGTATTATGTACGTCTGCACATTGAGTTGTCACTGCAATGAATATTATGTTTGACTTCAGTTTTGTTCGGTATATTATACATTCAAAGTTTATCACGATATTACGTTAGAAAACATTTAGAATTAATATTAATCATAATCTACGAACATCAGAAATAACGATGTAAGGATTGAAGGAAAAAAGAAGAAAAAAAATATTTTACTATTCACCGTTACCTTAAAGTCTAAACTGAAAGTTATGTGAGTTATTATTCAATAATAAACTAAAAATTCTTTTGACTATTTGTGGTTTCACTTGGTTTATGTAAACGTTTGTTCTAAATAACGTCTTGTTCAAAGGGAAAGTGATGACTTCCAAAAACTGACTCTGAGCTAGACATTTATATCTAGACATAAATTAAACTACTACAGACTACCGTTAAGAATGCCCGATTGATTTAAATTCTTCTCTTTCTTATGTATATCCTTTTTCACATTGTCACAATTAAATGACTGCTGATAGAGATGTATGGAAGAGTATAAAGAGTATGTACATACTATACCCAGCAACCACAGGGCAGGAAGATGACACAGTTGAGATATTTTGAAAAGACGTTTGCAGTGTAAATACAAATAGAAAATACAAGAAAGCAAAGAGCGGGAGTTGCGGACTGGACAGTTAATTGCACAACTTATGTCAATAATGGTTCGCCGCTACACGTGCTCGTCGACTCGCGTCGCGTTTCGCTGACCCCACCCCGCTGCAACTGCACTCCTCACATTGTTGTTTTATTTTATTTTACGACACATATTAAATTATATTACATACATACTCCTTTATAAATATGGCATAAAGGTCAGTTTACATTGCTAGTAGTTACTCTAGCGTCATTGGGAAAATTTGTAGATTTGATGATAAAATGAAAAAAATAAAAACAGAATCACCGGCGGAGGATACTATAACGGCTATTTTTACTACAATCTTAAATTAAATAATAATTATTCGTTTCCACTACTAGCTCGGAAGAGCCTGAAGTATTCTTTTTACCTTTTGTAAAATAAAACCAACTAAACCTTCACTTAAGGTAGGCTCCGAGCCCCTCGGCGGAGCCGTATAGTGAGCTGATGATGATGATGAAACCTTCACTATCAGGAACCCTAAGTGTTCTTGTAAATATTTATATCTATAATACAAATTCCGTGGTTTTTCTTTAGTACTAGAACTTTTCAAAATCTACAAAACGTCGTGTAGGCAGCGGACATTCTCATCATATAACGTGGCTCAGTCTCAAAGGAGTCGAGTCATGACTTATTCAAAAGACAATCTCCCGCTTCTCTAGCGGCTTTGAATGAGCGGTGCGGCCGCACGAGGCGGCTCCTTTGTTGCACTCTATTCACTTATTATGTCCCCGCCTGCACTATGACACGTGGGGATTCTTACAGTAATTCAACACATCTACGTTTGCATTGAATCTGTCACATTTCTGAGATAGTTGCCAACTTGCTGAAAGTACGATCCTATTGTATATAATGCAGTTTTACGATATCTGGAATGCATATTAATTGGTTTGCTTAAATCTCAAAGTATTTATGAATTTAATTATTTACTATATACTATTTACTTTCGCGGAGAGTTTAAATCAGTCGCCGGTCCACTCTTCACTACCAAAACGCAGTGTGAGATTGTTATAATGAGCACACTTAACTTACTTGACAGAACAGAATCTGATATATGTCATTTTCAATTAAGTTTACAGCGGGTTCGTAAAGTGTCTTCAAAACGTTCAATCAGCAAATCTGAGGGATATGCAACTCGTTAGCAGCTCCGACCAGCTCTCTCTATCTCGCACAATGCCATTGTCTCGCTCCTCTATTTTTCCTCTGTTTTTACTACATGATAAATGAAAATGTATATACCTATGTATGATACCTATATTTCATTGTCTTAGATGCTGCGGGACATGCGGGGGGCGGGCGGCGAGGCCACGGGGCACAGGTTCCGGCTGGTACAACTTGTGCTCAACGCGGTGGCACTGCTCGCCATAACTGCAGCGCTCTTCGCATACTTCCGAGCCAATCCCGCCGTGCAGGTGGGTACCATTACCTGCCCCTCGGTGGGGACGTATAGTGAGCTAATGATGATGAAACGAGGGAGTAACCACAATTCATATTTCTTTATAGGTACAAATTACTTCAATCTTTCGGTTCGCTCTACGTAGACAATTAAAAATAAAGCACTTTTAAAGTCTTCGCGCTTTATATAGACTCAACAGCTCATAGAATTGCATCGCATGAAGTGGCATTTTCGTACGCGTCGGAGCGCGAATCGTTACCTCGGCCACTCGCCACTCAGATACAATTATACTTAGTTAAGTTTCCAACTATGAAGGTTTGAAAACAAGTTTCACGTTCTCAATGTTCTATGAAATAAATACTTTTATCTCAAAAACGTTAATGGATTTTCAAATATATATTTTACAGTGTAATTTAAAAATGATGATAAATTAAAGGGAACACCGTTATATTTAATACGATTAAATAATTAAGAAAAAGTCACAATCAACAACAACTTTTGATTTTTCGTTATCAGTCAGTATCGTCAATTCAGGATGGGCTTGTGTTTGTTCCGAGTGCGGGTGCATGTTTGTTAATAAGTGTTCATAATAGGGACACGATACATACATGTACCTCGTAGACAGAGCGTAGGTGTCGACATCACAACGACCTCTGGTGTGACGACAAAAGTGAAAACATACTCAAGGGCAGACATGCCACGTAAGCGCTCATTAAATATCTATGTTGTGTCAATACGTACTTAGAATCAAACGTCACTAAACTGCTTAGAATAACATTTATAAATAATTTCCATACCTCTTACTTATTTGTTAACATATGTAGTTGTCATAGAGCGGTGTGATCTTTTAATGTCATGTTAGAAATATGTTTTCACTAGCATATACCTCAAAAGCTTTCTTGAAAATAATTTATCATTTTCATGAATAAATGTACAAGTAATAAAACAACAGATGCCGTTCAATGTAATGTGGAATTCAAAGTTATAGAAACAATCGAAGTTTCAAGATTTGTATACAAATTTCAAAAGGCATTTTGTTATCGTTTGCTTGTTTTCATTTGAAAAAGGAATTCCAGGAGACGTTTGTGCAATTTCTATAAATCGGTAAAGTTCGCAAAAACTTCATTGTAAAGGAAGCATTATTGAGAAAGAGATTTTACAAGGTTTCCATTGAATGTGACCTCCGCTACGATTGTTTGTGAGTCTTACAATGGTCAGAGGTAGATTTTTTCTTTTGAAAATCACGATACTGCCTTGTAAGTTCTTTACCTTTGTTACCTGTTGCGAAGTCATAGTAAAACACGGTATTACATTCTTTGTAGGCATTATTCTTCCTTAGTATCTAAATGAAATTCTGTAATTATAAAATGTATTATAAATTCTTTAATTGATTGCGTTTAATATTATGAAGAGTAATGATTATAATTAAATGATGCTTACAAAAAATGTTAAACCTTGTCAGAATTCATTATAAGAAATCTGTCGAGGAGCCTGAATTACTTACTAATTATTCAAAGGGCTATTGTACGACGTCCATTGTGTTCGATACGAAGTTTTTATACTTTAACAAGGCCTCAGAAGAAACCTTCGTTTATATTATGAATTATAAACAACTTTATTATTAATAGAAGCCATAAATATATATACATATATTATATATTGCTTTAATATATTTTCAAATTAGCTTCGCATCGCGTTATTAAACATATAAATATTATAAAGCAATATCATAACATGATTTATCTAACAATTTTATTTTAAAGACGTCTCTACCTTATGTTATTAAATCACCGGTTCTGGAAATGTGTTCCAATCTTTTAATATTAAGCTTTTATTTTGAATTAAAAAATTTAAAACCCAAACAGTTACTCTATTTTTTTATTTAAAATAATCATCAGGCACAGCGCCTCAGTTAATTCTTCTTTAATTAACCGAAGCGTTCACTCTTTGCTGAGTCAACAAGAGTTTGCTGCTAGTTATCAGGCGCTTAACCGCCGCGGCGGCTGACTGAGCATACCGAGAACTTATGTCAACAATTATTTTGAACCTCACTGATAAGAAACAAAACTCCTTAATTTTTCCTTAAATTTAAAATGCTTAGTACTGACAAGTTTTGGTACTGAAGTCAATTAAAGAACTATTATGGACAAGAAGCACTTTTCTTCGAATAACGTCATATTCTATACTTTCATATACTTTCTTTCCTTTGTGGTAAAAAATTTTTTACTTTACATTTTCATTCGGTAACATTCAAATATATTAAAAACATGATTCAAAAATAAATTTAGAAATACAAATATGATTCAGATAAACAAAATTGGTAATAAAAACGCAATGATGATATATTAATGTTTATCTTTCACTTTCCCTTTACTTTTTCCACATGACCTGGTGATATGTACCTATGAACTACTCGTACACAAGACTGCGCTTTTAAACCGCAGTTCAATCATCTTACACGAAGTAGGTCAAGTGCGGAATTGCCGTTTATTCCGTTCAGAAAACTTTTCTTCGTCTCAGTCACTCGAGCTGAGACAAATTGTTTTTGTAGCTTTTCTATCCGAGTCACCAGTTATGTATATATATATTGTATATTTTGTAATCTACGAACTTTTTCTTTGAACTTGCATTTCTGCGTAGTTTTTCTCATACTGAATTATGTATTTGACGTTTCTTCTTAGCTCTATAGTTTAGGTTGTATAAAAGTTAATATAATTTTGAAAAATACCTAGATTTTTATGTTTGTGTTTACTTTATTTAAAGTGAATAAGGTCTCGCCATACATTTGTATATTTTTACTCATGTGAATTATCTAACAAACGGTAGCAAAACAATGTAAATGAATAACATTTCTTGCAAAATTCCAGGTGTACCTTCATTTAAGCGGGCACGTTTGTTCCGCTTACAAAAAAATCTCATTTTAATTAGCAACGTTTTGGGCAAAATAATGTTTAGAGCTAGAGGGCCTGTGTGAGAGGGGAATGTGGGATCATTGTACGAAAAAGTTAATATACGAATGCCTCAGGGCTCGCTACATGCCCGCTTTTATTAATTAAATTACTATTTAAATTAATTTCTTAGCACTTTTTTGCTTAGGTTAATTAGAATAATTAAAAAAGAAATATAAATACATGTATTACTAAATAAACAAGACAAAATTAATCCACATGTAGTTGGTAAAATCTGAAATTACTGGATGATTTTATCATTCTTTCTCCATTACAAAGCTACGGTTTCCCAAAATTGTACGGAAAATTCATTGTTTCTATGCCAAATACAGACTGATGATCAAATTGTTTTATTTATGAAAGTACTATATATATAATGTTTATCCGCAGTACGTATCGCAAGTAGTGAACCGGTCGGTGATAGTACCGTGGCCGGCGCCGGCGGAGCCCCCGGGTGCGCGCAATCCCGCGCCCGGCGTCTGCCTGCCCGTCATCGTCTCCTTCTGCCACCAGCATCGCATCTCCTACAACTTTACAGTCTTCCCTAACTACATCGGCCACTTCGGCCAAAGGGACGCTCAACAGGTGATAACTGTCACAATATTATGCTATCACATACCTACCATGCTTTTTAGATTTATTTCTTTGCTTGGTAGAACTAGAAATAAGTAGACTTAGTAGTGACAAATTATTAAACACTTTTAGATAAACAAAAGCTTACCAAATTCCGGTTTGATAGTAATAGTCCAGCTTGTATCCAATAGTCAGAATGGGACAGTGAAAGTGGGACGTGAGTCGACGTCGGCTGCGGAGATCAGGACGTGTCGTGTTTACAAATTAATTGATAGTGAGCGCTCATGATAACGAGCTGTCACGTGGGAACTGTCAATTAACTTCGCTCCCTCCGCAACAAACTTACTGCCAAATGACATCATCTCGATTGACTTCATTTAATTATTATTTGTATGGGTTAAAATAGTAGCCAAACGTAAAAAAAACTAATCCAAACCACGTGTTACACGAAACAAAGAAAAATTTTAGTTACTGTTACTTTTAAACTGTTACTTAATTGCTTAAGATTTTAAATTTCTTTTCATTTGTGAAATCTAAATATTCGATACAATTTAAAGAAATTAAATTGTTTTTAATGTCACGGGTTGCTTGGTAACGGAGATCGGGAAATGTAATTCCTCGATGCCGACTGGAACTAGCGTTAATAAATAACCCTTTGTCGGTGGATTCCGACAGGCAAATGTTAAACGCACCGACCGGCGCGGCGCATTGTAGCGGTGACGTTGATTGATATCCCTTCGATGAAAGCAACCCCTTAATTACTGTAGATGTCGTGTTAACGACGACTGTATACTTCGTGGTTGCTAAGGTTACATGGCCTACGGCGTAGCATGTCGTTGTTACATTTTTTTTTTCTTCGTTGGCCAACACGTATAAATAGATAATTTTGATCCTATGATTCTTATTGGCCTTTCATTATCACTTTTACTGTAGATTATAGTTGAAAAATCTTATTTTAATAAGTAGTACCTAGATGACCGTATTTTTTTTAATTGTGTTTTTTGGAAATCATATTTAGGTACGAATTACTAATAAAATGATGTCAGGAAGAGTCATATTTTTCAGTTGAGACTACTCAAACGCC